AACACACACAAGGAGCAACCAATGAATGTATAAATAGTGGAACAATAAATCTCTTTCTTTTTTTCCCTCCTTCCATCCTTCCCCCTTGCTTGCTTGATCTCTCTTTAAAAAAAAAAAGAAGAAGAAGAAGAAGAAGAAGAAGAGCTGGGACCGGTTTGGCTCAGTGGATAGAGCATCGGTCTGCTGACTGAAGGGTCCTGGGTTCAGTTCCTGTCTGGGGCATGTACCTTGGTTGCGGGTGCATCCCCGGTGGGGGGTGTACAGGAGGCAGCTGGTTGATGTTTCTGACTTTCTGACTCTCTCCCTTCCTCTCTGTGAGAAATCAATAAAATATATTTTAAAAGAAGAGAGTAGAATTGCTTGGTTATATGGCAGTTATCTATTTAACATTTTGAGGAACTGCTTGACTGCTTTTCACAGGGGCAGCATCATTTTGTATTCTCACCAGCAATGTACGAAGATTCTATTTTTTTCTATATTCTTGCCTAAACTTAACTTTTATCTTGTTTTTATTGTAGTCATTCTAGCGTTGTGTGAAGTGGTGTCTTATTGTGGTTTTGATTTGTATTTCCCTAATGACTAATAGTGTTGAGCATTTTTTCACTTGCTCATTGGACAGTTTTATATGTTTGAAGAAATGTCTATTCAAACCCTTTATCCATCTTTTAATTGGGTATTTGTAATTTTATTGTTGAATTTTAAGAGTTCTTTATATATTCTGGATAAGAGATGCTTAACAGATATATGATTTAAGGTATTTTTTTTTTTTTTTTTACCATTCTGTGAGTTATCCGTTTACCTTGATAGAGATTAACCTTTGATGTATAAGCATTTTTAATTCTATAAAGTCCAATTTATCTATTTTTCTTGTTTGTGCTTTGGATGTCATGTCTAAGAAACCATTTCCTAGTCAAAGATTTACCTGTTTTTTTCCTAAGAATTTTACTAGTGTTTTTTCATAAGAACCTTCCTGATTTCTCTCAGTCTTTGCTTATATTTATGTTTTAGATTCATTTTTGAATTAAGTTTTATGATATAAGATAGGGATCCATATTCATTCTTTTGCAAGTGAATATCTAGTCCTAGCATTTATTGAAAAAGTCTATTCTTTTCCAGTTGAATGGAGTTGGCACCCTTGCGTATAATCAGTTAACAATAGATATTTGGGTTTATTCTAAACTCTCAATTCTAAAAAATACATATCTTTCCTTATACTAGTAGTCCACTGTCTTTATTACTATAGCTTTAAGTAGGTTTTCCAATCAGGACGTGTAAGTCCTCCAACATACTTTTTAAATATTTGTTTGGCCATCTTGGGTCTTTTGCATTTTCATATGATTTTAGGGTTAGTTTGCCCATTTCTATTAAAAAAGTTCAAATTTTTATAAAGATTGCATTGAATTTGTAGATGAATTTGGTGAAGTATATTTTTAAGTTTCATTTAAATAAATCTTGGAAACATGTAACATGAAAAAAGAAATTTTGATGCCTTTTAAAAAATTAGATAAGTATGTGGTTCTTACTTGGGCTTCTAGAACCATCTGGCAAAGTAATAGGGTGGACTTTCAGAGCCAGAGGCACTAATGTATAACACAGAACAAAGAAGGGTTGTTCAAGGCTCCCTACGGCCAACTCAAGATGATGCTTTCTCCTTCACAGATCACTCAGTGTTCATGTGAACAGCCTTCCTCCTTCAGCATTTCTGTTGAGCACTTCTATTCTACATTAGAGTTTATAAAGCCACATTGATTATAATGGAGCCCTTGGGTAGAGATAAATATGATGGCTTAATTGCCATGAATTGGAAAGAAAGAATATTGGGGAGCATATTTCTTTTTTTTCTTTTTTTAATATATTTTGTTGATTTTTTACAGAGAGGAAGGGAGAGGGATAGAGAGTTAGAAACATCTATAAGAGAGAAACATCAATCAGCTGCCTCCTGCACATCCCCTACTAAGGATGTACCCACAACCAAGGTACATGCCCTTGACTGGAATCAAACCTGGGACCTTTCAATCCGCAGACCGACACTCTGTCCACTGAGCCAAACCAGTTTTGGTGGGAGCATATTTCTTACAAGTAGCTATTTGACATGTTATTTCCTGAAAAGTTTATGAGATTTTAAGAATGAACATTCTCTTGAACACAGAGTTACAGTTGGTCCCCAGTTTAATTAATAGACATGCTAGCTGGGATAAGGTTGCTATACTTTTATTTACTAGAGGCCTGGTGCATGAAATTCGTGCACTGGGGGGGGGGGTGTCTCAGCCCAGCCTGCACCCTCTCCAATCTGGGACCCCTTGGACATCCCTCTCACAATCCAGGACTGCTGGCTCCCAACCACTCACCTGCCTGCCAGCCTGATCGATGTCTAACTGCTCTTCTGCCTGCTCAGTTGCCTCCAACTGCCCTCCCCTGCTGGCCCAGTAACCCCCAACTGCCATCCCCTGCCGGCCTGGTTGTCCCTAACTGTCCTCCCCTGCCAGCCTGGTTGGCCCTGCCATTCCCTGCCGGCCATCTTGTGGTGGCCATTTTTTACCACATGGGGGCAGCCATCTTGTGTAAGGGTGTGAGGATCAATTTGCATATTACCTCTTTATTATATAGGATTTTATTTTATTTTATTAATGTCAGAAAGGGAGAGGGAGAGAGATAGAAATATCAGTGATGAGAGAGAATCACTGATTGGCTACCTCCTGCACGCCTCTCACTGGGAATCGAGCCCACAACCTGGGCATGTGCTCTGACCAGGAATCAAACCATGACCTCCTGGTTCCTAGGTTGATGCTCAACCACTGAGCCACACTGGCCAGCCTAGGATTGCTATACTTTTAGAGTATAGCATTTTTCTCATTTTTTGTTGTTTAACATACTTACCTTTCTAGGTTCCTTATGCCATTCACAGAACCATAAAGGAGGCATGGTATATTGGCCATAATGAGCAACAAAGTATGACTTGTATTTATTTTTAACTACAAAATGAAGAAACTAAAAAGAAAGAAAAACCTAGTTATCAATAAGTAGACTAAACTATATGGAGACATCATACAAGTTGGAAGTTTAATATAGACTATATTTGAACTATTGCTATGTTTGGGAGAACAGATAGTTCAGGCAAGTGTGAACCCTGCTATTAGCTGTGTGAGAATTACACTATTGATACACTAGGTATTGGTAACTACAACCAGAAATATAGAGACATTGTTATTTGAACCTATCCAGAGTCAGGGGTTCTTCAGAATTTTCCCTTTGAACATCTGGAGGAGAAATTGGTACCTGAGTGAGGATGAAAAACATCCTATTTGCAAACCTGCCAGCCACTCACTTCTCCAGACTCTGTCTTTCTGTGTGTTGCACTTTGGTTCAGCGGGGTATGCTGATTAGACCCTGTGCCATCCTGCTTTAGGACCTTTGTTTGCTATCGTGGTCTTTCCACCTGATTAGCCACACATTTCCCTTTTGCACTTGTCACAACGTATCCTGTAATCAAGGCCTACATCCAAGGAACATATATATATATATATAAAAGCCTAAGCAACTGTCACAATTGAAACAATCCAAAGGATGACCAAACAGGCTGCATGGAGTGACCATGCCGGCAGGGGGTTTAGTGAGGGCCAACCAAATGACTGAACAGCAGGCTGCATGGGGCAATCAGGCCGGCAGGGGGGGCAGTTGGGGGCAACCAGCTGGTGGGGGGGTAAGCAGTAGAAGCCAGTGGTCCCAGATTGTGAGAGGGATGTCCCAGATTGGAGAGGGTGCAGGCTGGGCTGAGGGGACCCCCCCACTCCCGTGCATGAATATCATGCATTGGGCCTCTAGTTTTCTTCATAAGAACTTTCCTGATTTCTCTCAAGTCTTTGCTCATCACTCCTTTCCTCAAATCCCCTTAAAGTTTTATGGGTGCTGTACTTGTCAACATGAATTCAGGCCCTGCTTGATGTATCACTTACTAGCCTTAGCTTTGGGGTTTTTGGTGTAGAATCAAACTTTTCTTGTTGCATTATTTTTGTGCTACAACTCAAGGAATTTTCTAGTAATCATCATGTCATAGTTCAAATTGCACTGTTGTGCCTAGTTTTGTAAGGTTCTAAATATGATTTCTTAATGCATTTGTAGTCCACCTTTGTGGATAATAGCATTTCAGAAGTTATTGTTCCAGAATTACTCATTGTCCTGTAACTTTCCTAACTTTATCTTATTTTTCCCCCTTACAGGAAATGACTTAGAGGCCTTACAATTACATCTGTGCATTCTTGCTTTGGACTTTACAATTGAGGGCCAACCCAGTCTGGAAGCAGCTCTTATTAATGTTACAAGGAAACCGCTACCTCAGCAAACAAAAGGAAAGAAAACTTATAAAAACAAATGCCATTTTTTTTAAAAACAACTTGTTTTCAGAAAATATTAAGGAAAATTTGACTTTTTTTTTTTTTGCATTTAAAAGAAGCTTTACAGGTAAATGGATTTGTCAGGCAGGCTCTGTCAAAACTCTGCAGGGATTTAATCTTCCTTCTTAAGAACTTAGAGTAAAATAATTCCGTACTGCTTTTTCAATCGCTGTTGATCAGCTTGTAGGTTTTTGTTTTCTAACTTTTCTGGTATATTACAGATACATTATTATATTACATTTTTAAAGTTATTTTTCTGCCATTGTAAATACAAGTATCAAAATATTCTTGCAGAGCAATGATAGGTGAGCATTTTTCTCAAGCATATCTTTTTATTAAAAGAATGGAATGCTAATAATTCTTATACAGCATTTTGGACACATTTATTTTTTGTCAGAGGTCCTGCCTACACTGAAAATATTAATTATATAAACCTGTTGTCCTTCTCACATCTATATTGGATCCCATGATCACCTGCCTCATAGAAATGCCTTTTTTAAATCTTATATTTTCAGCACTCCACTATTTTTATACCTAGCTACAGTTTTGGGGATAAAAGACTCAGAACCCTGACTCACTCACAGTCACTGGGACAGTTCCCTCTCCCGCATGTATTGCTGCAGTGCCCAGGACAGTAAAATGGACTACAAGCGGCGCTTCCTGCTTGGCGGGTCCAAGCAGAAGGTGCAGCAGCACCAGCAATACCCGATGCCTGAGCTGGGCCGAGCACTGAGTGCTCCCCTGGCATCTACAGCCACCACTGCCCCCCTGGGCAGTCTGACCGCTGCAGGTAGCTGCCACCAGGCCATGCCCCACTCCACTCCCATCGCCGACATCCAGCAGGGCATCTCCAAGTACCTGGATGCCCTCAATGTCTTCTGCCGGGCCAGTACTTTCCTCACAGATCTCTTCAGCACTGTGTTCAGGAACTCTCACTACTCCAAGGCAGCCATGCAGCTCAAAGATGTGCAGGAGCATGTCATGGAAGCAGCCAGTCGGCTGACTTCAGCCATAAAGCCCGAGATCGCCAAGATGCTGATGGAACTTAGTGCTGGGGCTGCAAACTTTACAGATCAGAAGGAATTCAGTCTCCAGGACATTGAGGTAGTGTACCTTCTGTGTCATAACTGGGTAGGGAAATGTATTCCAGAGGTAAGTGAGAATGTTGTCTTACGGCGGGGCAGGATTGGGAGGACCCTGACTTGAAAGCAGCAGCGGGAGCTCCAGGCTGCCTAGCCCGCCAGCAGCCCTCCAGGATTCTCCCTCTGGATGTCTCTCCCTTTCCCTGCTTCCTTGTTTTTTGTTGTTGTTTTTTTTTAAATCAATCTTTATTGTTCATATTATTACAAAGTTTCCTCATTTCTTCCCCCCTCCACCAGGTTCCCACCCCATCCTCCGCCCCCTCCCCATCCCCCATTGTCCTCATCCATAGGTGCACAGTTTATGTTCAGTCTCTTCTTCCCTTCCTTTCCCCGATAGTAAATCCCTTTTCAGATAGTAATTCAGTTACTTAGCATTTTCTCATATCAATAATACCTCCACATGCCCAATAATATACTTCACACAAAAGACATTTCCCAATAGGTCAACTAGCCTCTATCAGGCTTTCCCTCGGGAGAGGGGGGAGGGGAGAGCGGGGACACACACACACACACCCAGGTGTCTGGGCACCAGAGCACTTCACCCTTGGCACTGTGCCCAGCATGCACTCTTCCCCTTTTTTATATGAATGTTTTTATATCAATGTGCTTGTGTCTGCCGTGATTCAGGACTAAGTTGCTGTGGCATCTTTATTTCTTTCCCTGGGTCTGCGTTCCCTCCCCTGTGCCTGACAAAGCCAGTTCATTGTTTTCTCTTCATTACACAGGACAGCCAGGGCAGGGGGAGCCCAGCCCCGGGGAAGGTGGTAGGGAAGCAGGGGACAAGCCTGGGGATGGATGAAATAATGTCGGCATTATTTTTTTATTTTTTAAAAACAAATGGTATCTTATTTAAAAAAAGAGAGAGAGAATGTTGTCTTAGTTTTCCTCCAAATCGTCGTAAGTAATGATGGTCTTCATCCTCTTTCTTTTTTTTCTTTTAATTTTTTGTTGTTGTTGATATCCTCACCCAAGGAAACTTTTCCATTGATTTTTAGAGAATGGGAGGGAGAGGGAGAGGGAGAGATAAAAATATTGACCTGAAAGAGATACATCTGTTGATTGCCTCCCATGTGCCCAACCAGATTGAGCCTGGAATCCAGAGGATTGAGCCTAGAATCCAGGTACATGCCTTTGACCAGAATAGAACCTGGGACCCTTCAGACTGATGGCTGATACTCTTTGCACTGAGCCAAATTGATGAGGGCTTTTTCTTCCCTCCCTCCCTCTTACTTCCCCTCCCTCCCTTCCTTCCTTCCTTTCTTTTTAAATATGTTTTTTATTGATTTTTAGAGAGAGAGGAAGGGATTGATGAGAGAAACACATTTTTTGGTGCCTCCTGCACGCTCCCTGCTAGGAATTGAGTCTATAACCAGACATGTGCCCTAACTGGGAACTGAACTGGTAACCGCTTGGTTAATGGGGTCAGTGCTCAACCACTGAGCCAAATTGACTGGATCTCTTTCTTTAAAAAATAATATACTGTATATGTATACAATGATTTCAGAAATGAAGTTACAGAGTGAGAGAGAGAGAAACATCAATGATGAGAAAGAATCATCTATTAGCTGCCTCCTGCACGCCCCACACTGGGGATTAAGCCCACAACCCAGGCATTTGCCCTGACTGGAATCAAACCATGACTTCCCGGTTTGTAGGTTGATGCTCAACCACTGAGAATGCTGGCCAGGCTTCATCCTCTTTCTATTGATACTCTCTCCTTATAAAAACTGTGTTGTGTGCCAGGTTCTGAATTGCTTTCATTTCAAATTAAGTAGGTTAAAAGATTATTAAAGAAACAAATCAACCTATTATAACTGAATTTACAGATAAGATACTATTAAAAGTACAGGGTAGAGATATGATTATGAGCTTTATTGTAAATTGTCATTATATAGAACCATTGTTTACTGTGGAAAGTTCCACACATGTTTAAATTATTTTTTCAATTCTAAATTCACAGCTATTCACAGTTGGATGCATTTGATTCTTATTGGATACTAGAAGCCTGGTGCATGAAATTTGTGCACAGGTAGGGCCCCTAGGCCTGGCTGGCAGTCAGGGCCATTCGGGGCCTTCCAGCTGCTGGCTTGAGCCTTCCTTTGTTCCATGCCGCCTCCTGGTGGTCAGCGCACATCATAACAAGAGGTCAAACTGCTCATAAGTCGAACTCCCAAGGGGACAATTTGCATATTAGCCTTTTATTATATAGGATATTTCTTTGGGTCTTTGATACTCAAAATGAAATATTTTTTCTCTTTTTAGGTGGCTCTAAGTTATAAGATTAGAATAAAAATGACCTTTTTCTTCACTTAAGAAATAATTTATTAAACTTGATCTGTTATATCAATGTCACTACTAGAGTTTTTATGTTTTTTACTACTGATTTTTTTTTTGAGAAAGAGGAATGGAGAGAGAGAGAAAACATCAATGTGAGAGAGAATATTAATCAGTTGCCTCCTGTATGCTCCTGGACCAGGGATCTTACCCACAAGCCAGGTATGTGCCCTGACCAGGAAACGAACCCATGACCTTTTTGTTGTACAGGACAACAGCTCCAATCAACTGAGCCACACCAGCAAGGGCTAGAATTTTTAAAATACATTTTTATTGATTTCAGAGAGGAAGGGAAAGGGAGTGAGAGAGAGAAACATCCATGATGAAAGAGAATTATTGATGAGCCTGCACACCTCACACTGGGGATTGAGCCCACAACCTAGGCATGTTCCCTTAATCAGAATCGAACCCAGGACTCTTCAGTCCTCAGGCTCTATCCACTGAGCAAACCCGGCTAGGTTTGCTTGACCATTTTAAACCTAAGACAAAGTACCAATCCAACTGTCCCACTCTGAAGGTGCCCTGGCATGCTTCTAATATTCCCTTATTTACAGCCAGGTTTGGGATTGACAGATCCTGAACTGCAGTTGTCTACTTTGTGCTCTGGGGCAAGGCTGGGTATATGTGAGTCCTGCCCTCAGTGACTTTGCCGCTTACCTTGTGTGGTTCACCCTCACAGTCTCATTGTTAGGTGAATGAGTTGTGACTATGGTCTATGAGTTAACTAGTGCCTGTGACAGTTTGGTAAGGGTCCTGGAGTCAGAAGATCTGGTTTAAAATTTAACACTGCTTACTGACTGAGTGGCTATGAGCAAATGTAACACCTCTAAGCCTCGGCTTGCCCATCTATAAAATGGAATTACCACCCACCTTCCAGTGTTCTTGTGAAGATCAGAAGCAAGTGGTATGTGTAAAACTCTGCATCCATCATCATCATTTATTATTGTTGTTTCAAACATGGCTTGAAAGGTACTCTTAGCTTTTGTCTGAAGTACGAAGCACAACATGCACAAAACCAACATCAAAGAGAAGTTTGCAAATTATTCTTCTAACTGGAACTTTTTTAGGTGGAAAAAGTTACCATTCCCAGAACATTTTCTCTGCTCATTTCTCTCCAGGTTCTTTCCCCTCTGTATCTTCTGGTGTTGTAAAGTGGCAGTAGTATTACCTTCCCGAGGCAGGAACTGCCAGGACCTTTTCAGTATAAAAGCCTGAGAGAACCCTTTCCACCGGTAGTTTCTGCTCTGTTTGCCTTGCATCTAGGATGGGGCCATGAAAAAGGAGTGTGTGGGTGTGTGGGGGAGTGGTTCATTGAATACACTTGTAGTAGCTGAGAACTTTGAACAAGCCAGCCAATTGACACTTTTCCCTCACTGGATTTATAGATAATGTGTTGTTTACATTATATAGAAAGAATTTTGTCTAAAATGAGAAATAGAATCTTAATTGAGTACTTCATGGGATTTCCTTTGTATAAGTTTCACACCGTCAGTCCAGCTATTATAAAATGTGAATTCAGGAAAAATATGCTTTTCTGTGTTGAACTTTTTCTTTGTACAAAGCTTTGACATGCTACCCAAATGTTTTTTAGTGGTAGACTATACAGGACCAGCTCTCTGTATCTTTTCTTCTTTTTGAGTTTAGAAGCATTTCCACCAGTGGTTTTTATGATTGTGTTAACTCCAGTGTTCTTGTAAAATGCCAGGCTAGCTCAATTGAGTGGCTGATTTCTCTTTGATTTTGTCTACCTCAGTTTCATTTTTCCTAGAAATGTGTTATCCTAAGGGTCATTTTTAATTAAAACATGTAGTTCATATTAAAGAATTACAGACAACCCTATAACTTGGTTTTCTATTTATTAGAAAGTTACAAATGTCCACCTCTTTACAAACATCTATCATTTGTCTTGAATAAAATTACTTTTTCAGTGAAAATATAAATAAAATAATCAAATGGACTTGTGATTTTCACGTTTATTCCACAAATATCCATTGCACCCTTTATTTTGTACTTTGTACTGTTTCAGACACAGGATATAGTGATGATTAAGATAGAAATCCCTCCCTTTGTGTATATGGATATAAGAGGACGGCATTCTTAGATAAGACAGTTTGAAGGCACCACTGACGAGGTGTCATTTGTGTAAAGACCTGAAGGAATGAACCCTGTTGATAACCAGGAAAAAGAGAACACCAGGCAGAGAGAGCAGCTAGTGCAAAGTTCCTGAGGCAGGAGTGACCCTGGCTGAAGAGCAACAAAGACCTATTGTGGCTGAAACAGTGAGCCCAAGGGAGAGCACTAGGAATGAGGTCAGAAGGTAAAGAGGTCAGCCTCTGAAAGTCAGGTGCAGAGGCCAGCAGGACAGGATCTGCCGTCCTTGTGCAGGAAGCAGCGATGCCACATCTCCCTTTGCTTGCTTCATTTTTTGGCAGCTCCAGGGCTCTGGTGCCATGGTGGGGCCTCACTGTTGGGAGATCTTGGCCCCCTGGGCAGGTGCTCTGTACAGGCATTCCAGAAGTCCAGGGCAGCTACAGATCTCCCAGGAGTTTTATGTTTTTAAGGGGACTGTATTTTATCTGTCAGCATTTTTATTTGTATTTTTTTATGTATTTTTATTGATTTTGTACA